TGGTCAAGTGGTTAGTGAACCTGAGCCAGAGGAGAGACTAATGACTGTGGGATGAGCACGATCATTTATTCTGTGGCTGGGTGTACTTTAGATATATACAGATAATTCGGCGTTTGGGTGTTTTCTATAAGTAATATGTATGTACAAAAAAAAGTATATATGTATTTATATCAGTTGTCTGGTAGCCATAGTACAAGCTCGGCTTAGTTTGGGACTAGATGGCGTTGTGTGAATGTGGTACAATATTATTTATTTATTCTATCATCTGTCTAGGTTTTTCCCGCGACTCCGCCTGCGTGTAATGTGGTCAACGTTTGTCAACACAAACGTTGAATTATTCTGTTTAAACTAGATTTATTTATCATTCTTTTCACAGCCTTTTTGTTTTATTTTTGTAGAACCAATAAGAGAAATGAAAAGGTATATTAGATAAAGTAGGTAGATGTGCAGCGATGGACGTGAAAACATGAAACACTTTGACCGAATTGGCGATATCCTGTAAAAGTCTACAACGGCGGGATTTCTTCAAAGGTTTCATAAAAGCAGATCATCATCAGATCAGATTTATGAGATATCTCAGGATAGAAGTCTCTGCCTACTCTAAGTGGATTGCGTGTGTGTGATCTACGTCTATACAAATAAATAAAAATAAAGTGTTTTTGTCAAATTAATAGTTTTTTTCATGCTCATACGGTTATTTGCACGATACAAATGCCTAAAAACCAGTTTTAATATTTTTTACCTGTCTGTTTGTTTGTTCCGAGTAATCTTCAGAGCGGCTGGACCGGTTTTGGATAATATTTCATTATCACATCATCATCATCACATCATCATCATCACATCAACAGCCTTTAATAGTCCACTGCTGGACATAGGCCTCTCCTTAGAAAGGAGGTTTTGGCCTACTATACCACGTTGGCCAGACGGGTTGGTATAGGGTTTGTGTCAAGTTTTCCTTCTCTTTGCAGTACTGCTGCCCTGCGTAGTTTGTTCCCTTGGCTTGGCTTCCCTTGGGTTGGCTCCTACGACACCCGTATTTTTAATCCGTCACCGTTTTAGGCTATTTTTTCTCTCAGAAAAATTCTATAAAATTTTGCCCGGTCCTGGGATCGAACCCGGAGCCTCATGGACTACAGTCGCGTACCTTACTACACCAATAAGGCAGTTCTCTTCAAATTCCATGCCAACGAAGTCGCGGGTACCAGCTATTATTATGTAGTTATGTATTATTGTAAAAATAAAGTCTAAAGACTTACCGGTTCCTCTACAAAGGAGTAATTGAATTGGCTCTGACGGAATTCGTTATTAACAAATCAATATTATTTTTAGGGACGAGATTGTCTTAAATCTCCGGTGTGCCTTGTCTGCCTGTCAATAACAGGAGACCTTCCGTAGGAGGGCCAACGTAAAGAGAACTGGTATTGGTGTACAATATTTGTAAAACTGTACCTACAGACATAAATTTTATCAACCAATTTTTAATATATTCTGACTTTTTTTTTCTTAATGACAACTCCCGCATTCGGAGTATATTCTGTATCGCGGGGGACTTTAAAAACAAACATGAAACGGACACAAAGATCACCCAGACTCAGAACAACAATTTGTGGATCACACAAAGTGTTGTCTGATGTGGGGTTTGAACCCACAACACTCGGCGTAGTGGGAAGCGGAGTGGCGACCGCTTAAACCACTACGACAGTCAAAGTGCACTTTGATTGTACCACATCCACATCCACATGTGCTGAAGTCATATGGCTCTCCCACGGTTGTCCAAACATACGGAACATGCACAATAAATGATGACGATAATAAAGGGTGCTTGCCTTGCAGACTTCTTCCTAAAGGCCTTTCTTTCCCAAACTAGTTTCATTATCCATTCATCCACCCACAGCCTTTACTAGTCCACTGCTGGATATAGGCCTCTCCTTAGACAGGAGGTTTTGGCCTACTATACCTCGCTGGCCAGACGGGTTGATATAGAGTTTGTGTCAAGTTTCCTTCTCTTTGCAGTGCTGTTGTCCTGCATATTTTCCTCCCTAGTCGGCTATTACGACACCCACGGGATGAACACTGACGGTAGGGTGGTAACACCTCGTATTTTTTAATTCGTCACCACACGAAAAAGTTATTTTAGTAACGTTATCCTTAACATTAATATTTACTGTAATATACTAGATATTCTATTACTTATATGCACCTATAACATCATAAATAACTCTATAAGTACCGGTCACTGTATCCGGTTTAGCAGTTTCAACACACTTTTATAAGCTTGCTCTGTAAATACATATGTATACTTAAATCTACGTAACGGGATCTTTTAACGTTATTCTCACCAAGTCAAATGCATCTGAGGCCCTAGTGTGAGATTATTTCACATTAACTCCCTCTAACGGCGAGCGCGTTTGGCGTTGCGATTGGTGAAGATTTCAGTGCTGGCCAATCGTAGCGCCGAACGCTGTCACGTTGAAGATCGAGTTAATGTGAAATAACTTTACACTAGGCCCTCAAATCGGCTTTAGAATTCGTTAAAAATAATATCATAACATCAAGTTCAATGGAAACAAAAAATGTCTACTTTTTAGTTTAGCCTGCTATTAAAGCAGATTTTTTTTAATTTTCAAATGTTCAAAAATAAATAGAAACTTATTATTTTTATCATCGTTATCTTTTTATCTCTTTTTCTCTTTTTCTTTTTCAAGCAGAAATAGAAATTTAGTTCATGTATATTTTAAATCAAATCATTAACAGATAAATTTATAATTTATATATAGTTATTCGTGTTATAATAAAGTATTTCACAAGCTGTATCCATTAATAGCTATTACCTTCGGCCTCGCACGCCAAATTGTTTCTTATTTCGTGTTTCTAACTTAACAAATGACGACCCATCATCATCATCCCTTATTTTACCACCTTAGGGGTAAAAAATTCCAAAAATTCTTTTGAAAATCCTTTGCCAAAATATCAAGTTTATAGTCCCAACGGTTTGGGCTCTGCGTTGATGAATCAGTCAGACCGGACAAGTAATTAAAATGTACAGAAGACTACTAAAACTTCATTAATCTAAAAATTTACATCCATTACATCAACTTATATCCATTACATCCTAACATTGTTTCTTAAGCTATCACGGCTTAACTGCTTAACTTTGAGTACTTAGAGGCACATAAACGGACTTGGGGTATGTTTGATCCCGTAGAAGTACTGTATGTAGCATCAGCCCATCTGAACTGATTGAAGTTTAAATTAAAGCGGGCAAAACTTGGTGCAAAAGCATTTATATAATATATATATATATAAATAATAGTTGTATTTGGGTGCATATTGCGGGTATGAGCGGTTGTTTATTCACATTGAATGGCAGAACGCTTAACACTTTGAAAAACGCGTCTATGTAATGTAAGCTATACTATTGTTGGCACCCTGTTAGACATTGCCCGTCTTAATTTTAAACAAAAATATTAAGGATTGATGTGTTAAAAAATTGTCAATATATGTAGAACTTTTTAAGTTTTTTAAACGTCCATAAACCAACTTGATATTCTGATATAATATACACATAGTATGTTGAGTAAAACTAAACTTTTTTATATTGTTAATGTATAAACTAACTAATTTTTATTAAACTTGTAAACTCATGATTATTTAGACATATTTAGTGTCAATGACTTTTTTTATGATAGAGGGGACAGACGAGCAGTCCTGTCACCGAATGGAAAGTGACCATCGCCGCCCATGAACGTCTGCAACTCAGGAGTCACAAAGAGTACGCTGTTTTCTTGAAGGTTTGAAGGTCGTATCGGTACGGAAATATCACAGTCGATAACCCGTTTCACAGGTTGGTTGACTGAATCCTTAAAGTGCGAATTATTGTATAGTTTAGCCTATCTATACATATATAACATTGATGATTAGTGATATCCACAAACCGCCTTGCATTCAAGAGAAACTTCTTCGGAGTGAACTGGCAGAACAGTCACAACGCTAGGTTTATGTAGGTTTATGTGTGTATGTTTACTTATGTATGTGTGTTTATATATTGTTCTGGACTCTGGACTTCAAATATCAAATATATTTAATATTTTATTTTGCACCTTCCGCATCATATTTCTACATCACCTGAAGGTTGACTGGGAATAAGTCCGCGTTTGTACAACATGTGCATTAAATTTTAAATAAATAAATAAACATTACTAGCCCTGACTGACGGATTTATCAACGCAGAGCACAGAGGAGTTCTCAAAGGGCGACATACTTCTGACTCTTGAGTTTCAGATGTCCATGGGCGGCGGTAAGCACATACCATCAGGTAACCCATCACTTGTTTTTTGCCCCTATACTATAAAAAGATCAGACATCGCCTGGTCGACTTTCAACCGCTTTAAATGTCTTGTTTCCTTAACCACTTTAACTTCGTCTACCATTGTATAGCCTTTTGTGCCATGACAGATCCATCCAGATATTATAAATGCAAAAAAGTGTCTGTCCGTCTGTTAATTCTTTATGCTTAAACCACTTAACCGATTCAGATGAAATTTCGTATAGAATTAGATGTTATCCCAGAAATCATCCTTTAAAGGGGTGGAAGTTGGTATGGGGTAGCAACCGCTGAACCGTTTCAGATAAAATTTTATATGGAGATAGTTTGATTATAGAGGAAAGATAAGGGCTACTTTTTACCGCGATAACCGATCTACACGCCGCGAGCCGCGAGCAAAAGCTAGTCAAAATATATATTGGACACTTCATAGCATTTTTATTTATATATAAACATTCAGTATTCTAAAATTATAACATGCTTTTATGCGCCACATTAGTTTAAAAAGAGGTAAAAAAAAATATTTTCACGCATCATATAGCTTGGTATCTTTTCTTCATCTTCTTTTCAACTGATTTCAATTCTTAGTTCAGTAAATATTAAGTAATTTATTGTAAACAGTAAACAAACATTGAAAGAAACCCGGTTGTGGTCAAATATCGAACACTCATAATGTTTATTTTAGATATGCTTGACGATTCGACCGAATTGCACTGACTTGGTTTGCAATAACCATTGTCTGTGATGATTTCACGATAAATAATTTAACAGGTGGTATTACAGCAGTGGTATTATAGACCCTTAAGAATGAAATTTCAACAGTACCTGACGCTGTTGTGCTGGCTGCTGTAGTCACCGAGCTGGTTGTCGATGTTGACTCTCCCGTGGTACTCGCATTAGTCATTTCCACTATTCTATCCACTGCTATACGATTGCCTGGCAGTATTCCTGAACTCTCGGCCTGTTCTTGCACCACCTGAGGATCTGCTTCTTCTGTTACTTGCGGGCTAGGTGTAGCTTGACTCAAATCATTTGCAACGATTACATTGACGGTCGTTAAAGACTCTAAATCGCCAGAATTTTCACCAGCTATTTGTGAGTTGTCAATGTATACTGCAGCTGATCTTGCTCCTAACGTCTCCATAACACTTTCAGCTAAAGATCTGGTTGAGAGCTCATCTATATCAATATCTTGTTTAATATCAATGATTATTTGATGTCTTTTCGTTCCACTTCCAGCTGGACTCTGTACCTGGTGCACACTGACCTGAGCTTCGGTTCCTGGATGCGATATATGGTGCTGTATCACATGAGTCAGCTGACCCTCCAAGGTATTGTCTCTGGTGCCCGCCATCTTTATTTCTTATACACTTTCAGCATTAATAAACCAACACTACACGAAAAATTATCAGTCTCTATTCAGTCGGGGAAATTATTGCAGAAGGATACACACACAGAAGTCTAAAACTAATGAACACAGGTATCACTAATGTTTTTGAACACACTGATGATAAAATAGAGAGATTTGTTTAGGCAGTTCTATGGCCCACTGCGGGCTTGTACGGTTGCAACGCGCAGATGCATCGAAACTGGGTCAAAGGTGAATAGCCTACCAAAAATGGATTTTGTAATTGTGCGATTTATGTTTTTTATAGAAATGGCAGTGGAAGTTACATGAGGCACGGCTAGGTTTTACATTGTTTGTTTGTCCTGCTCTATTGACACCCTTTACTGTCCTAATTCGGGACGTCTCGTAGACGCGGTGTCCGTAGCCACTGCGAGGCCTACGAACGTAGCTACGCCGATGCCGCGTAGGCCGGCTACACAACGCGCTTCCGTGTTGCCGTCGTGGGATATTTCTTAAGATTTATTTTGTATTTTTTTTCTATTTATCAAATTTAAGTATGTTGCATCTTGTTGTCTTAAATAGTATACTTTTCAGTTATTTATCTAAAATGAGAATTACAGTTTTTTTTAAAGAAAGTTTTTGTATGAAATAACCTATTTGGGTTCAATTCTCTGTAAAAATATTATGAGATGAGAATATTCTTCAACGATGCAACAATTTTAACGCTAACAACAAAATGCGACTTTGTCTAGACGACGTTTATATAACAAGATTTCTTTTATATAAGCATTTATATCGTCCATTTTGTATAACATACGAATTTTATAAAAAGGTGCAGTATTTCAGACATTAATCTACCTATACTATTCATACTCGTAGTACTAAAATAGCTATTATCACTAACCAACCAACATCTACCTTTTTATAGTGTGTATTGGTAAATATTACCGGAGACCCAACCTCCTCGCCCTGTCTAATTTGGAGGAGGAGGTCACTCAAAAGGAGGCAACGAACTTGTGTTGCCTTTAGACTCCTGTAACCTTCTTGGGTTACAGGTGTCTAGTTACATAGTCATTTACCATCGAGTGAAAGGTGACCGCCGGTTTGTTTGCCCCCTACTTCTAATTTTAACCTCCATCCCTTATCCAAATAGATCTATAGTCTATCTACTTTGTACTAGAGCACGTCTCTCATTTATTTCCGTAGAAACATTAAAAATAATTTTAAACTCTAATTCTTTCTTTGAAATTTAACGTTAGTTACAACTACATTAATTTTCTTTATAAGACAAGAGGAATCAATTGAAATATATCCCGGCACATATCTTCGAAGCCATCGCTCGGTGTGTACCAACCTCCATTCGGTTGCACGTGCCCACGCCTGCGCGGTACAACCACATCTTTTATCTCCCTCTGCCGGTCTACAGCTGTCCTTGTCTACCATCTTCGATCGTTTGAGAATGACGAAAAAGCATATAATCGAATTTATGTCGACTTGTAGGGACAGCAGAACAGCATGTAATGTTACATCCTGGCCTTGAAACGGACACTAGTTAGGTCACCTGGCTTTGTTTAACACTGATATTAAGCTTTAGCTGTATTACAGATGTTTTTATGATATTCGTGTAAGTGTTTTAGAAGACAGTCTTATAAAGAAGTTGTTGAAAACTTTGAGGAACACAGAGAAATAAAATAAACCTAAGTGTTGAATATGCCAATTATTAATACTCTTCCAATATTTTATATGTAAAGTGTTTATTAAAGGTTTGTTTTCTTCTTACTAACATGTTTCCGACCCAATGTTGATCACCCAATGGTGAACGGGTACAGTACAAGCTTTGCATAATAGCTCTGCGCTTTACAGCAGCAAGAAGCTCTTCTGCTACATTCTGTATGGCGTTTTTTTCAAATTTATTTTTTATGGAAGAGGGGGCAAATGAGCTCCCGAAACTTATAAACCCTAGCAACATCAATGACGACATTCGCGTATTGCTCTTCTACTTCCCAGCCTCTGAAGTTGAGAGGCAAAACATCAGGGACTTGAGACCTATGGTGACAATAAGCGCCTGTAATCACAACCTGTGACGCCCTATTGACCTGCAGTGACACTCTGATGACTCTGATACGTTGTACTATCAACTTTAGATGACCTTTAACTGAGGAATCTTTTGTAGGGGCAACTGACTAAGTAAATTTTCAAAGCCTTAATTGCTGACGGTACTTCTTTACGTAACGCTGGATGATGACAGCCCAAACAACTAATATAAACACACGCACAAACCAAAACACTACATTTGTACTGAGCAGTCGGATAACTTCATCTATTAGTTGCTGATCAATGTAATGTGTATTTATTTTTCTTTACTTAAGCGTACGTAACGTACTTGACGTAACCAGTCTTATGGGAAGTGGTTACCGGCACTCACACTGGGGATATTATTCGTATATTATATACATATACAACTACTTACCCTGACTGCCTGATTCATCAAGGCAGAGCCTACACCGCTACGGCTATAGACCTGAAATTTTGGCAGCTGATTCTTTTTGTGTTGTAAGCACCCACTAAGAAAGGATTTTTAAAAATTTCATTCCTAGGGGGGTACAATATCACCGTGTGGTGACGGATTAAGAATACAGATTGTCACCACCCCTATTCATCCCGTGGGTGTTGTAAGAGTCAACTAAGGGAAAAAACTACGCAGAACAACAACACTGCAGAGAGAAGGAAAACTTGACACAAACCCTATACCATCCCGTCTGGCCAGCGTGGTATAGTAGGCCAAAACCTCCTTTCCAAGAAGAGGCTTATGTCCAGCAGTGGACTATTAAAGGCTGTTGATGATGATGATGATGATGATGGGGTACAATAAGGGATGAACGGTTGTATTTAAGTTTGTCATTTTCAAAGTTAGAAACAGCAAATAATAAATAATCATGGGAGTAGCAATAGCTGGTAAGAACGATTATTAATTCAGATAAATACACGTTACCACATATTTTTTACCGACTTCAAAAAGGAGAAGGTTATCAATTTGGATGTTTAAATTTTCTTTTTTATGTTCGGGCATAACTCCGTCATAAATAGACGGATTTTCAAAATTCAAAAAAGGGTTTATTCCGAAATGATCCCATTCAAATTTCATATAGATCTGGTGATGAGTTTCGGAGACAGACAGCGGAACTCTTCAACAGCAAATCAACCGCGATTGCAGCTAGGTTTTTCGTGCTCTTTGTTAGTATTGTATAAAGGCATAAAACTTTTTTTCAATGTAATTTTTTATTGATGCTCCCTTGAATTTCGTCAGCAGAAATCTAATCGTGGAACAGCATCGTCACATTTGGGCTGGATAGACCAAAGTGGTGGTCCAAGACCTCATAGAAAACCGGTGCAAACCAATTTCCTTTTTTTTATGTTCACACAACTCACACACGGCCGTCTGATTCCAAACTAGGCAGAGCCTGTGTCATAGTGAGCAGACTACTGATAAACATACTTGTATATCTCTAAATACATACATATTATAGCTAAATTATACCAGACACAGAACCATTTGTTCTAAATGGCAATCGAACCCACGACCTCAGGTTTGGTAGCCACTAGACCAACAGGCCCGTCAGACAATTTAAGTCGTTTCTATCTTTGTTACATAAAAGTGTGATCAGATTTCCTATACTTGGTTAAACCAATAAAGTTATTTGGAATCGTTACTAGACAAGATAAACAACCACCATTTATTCCCAACGTGAGCTTGAAAAACAGAGACATCTTTGTCAAGGACATTCTCTGTGTCTATTCTTCTGTCATAACAATAGAAGAATGTTATAGCATAAAAAATACCGAAATCAACCCCACGCGTATCTAATTCTTTCAAGATTCATTACAGACCAACCGACAGTAAACCGTTGTAACTCATTTCAATAAAAACATCTATCGATACATTTATTATAAACTAGCTGAGACCCGCGGTGTTACCCGCGTTTGTTGTTATAACCCCGGGCAACGCCGCGGGGCAAAGCTAGTCTAAAAAAAGTAGCCTAAGTTACGCCTTATGTCATCAGCTATCTGCCAGTGAAAGTCCCTTCGAAATCGGTAAAGCCGTTCCAGAGATTACCCAGAACAAACAGACAGACAGACAGACAGTCAGACAGACAAAAATTGTATAAATTTTTATTTTGGCATATGTACCGTGTAAACATACATATGCATTTAGTAAAAAGCGGTTATTTTAATATTATAAACAGACACTCCAATTTTATTTATTTGTGTAAATGTGAAAGTGATTTTGTTTGTTTGTTACGCTTTCACGACTAAACCACTTAACCGATATTAAAAATTCTTTCACTAATGGAAAGCTACATTATCAGCTAGTAATCTATGTCACTCGCCGTATGTAAAAGGTATTTTACCGCGATTACCGACATATAATCGGGCGGAGGCGCGGCCAAAAACTAGTCTTTTTTTAATAAAACTGTGTATTTTCTAAATACACAATAGTACAAGACATAGACTTGCATACAACAGCCAGTGCAAGTGAGCGATTCTGCTCTGCTCGAGCTAACACAGCACATTCCCTAATTAATTGGTATAAGCAATATTCTTCTTTCTTCTATAGTCTTCTCTTCTGCCGAACCTTCAATATATTGCCAATAATCCAATCCTTAATTCCCTATGTCCCCTTTTAACGGTGATAGGCTCGCCACCTATTAAACTACGTTAGTAGGTCTAATATAAATCAGCATAATATGGGTATTAATACATACACAGAAACTCACCTTAAAACTAACAATAAAAAATAGTTTATAAACCTATTTATCTAATGAAACTTTAATCTCTCTTCCTGAATACCGTATTGAACCGTTAATGTTACTCAAAAAGAGGCTTATTATTGATTTTCGTTCTCAGTACGACAGAGGTTTTACGGACGGCAAAGCGATACCCGTTGCCTAGCAACGGTGTTGCTTCTTCATTCCGGCATGTAATAATAAAAACAACATGGCCGACTA